GGGGTCTACCCATGATGCTTTGCGAATGCACGACTTGCTTCCGGGCCCACTCTTTTCAGAGGTAAAGCCAGGACTGATTTCCTGCCTGGGGCCGTCTGAGTCCCCCAGCAATCATCCTGAGACCCTTGCAGGTGGAGGAACGGAGTCTGGTTAAGAACATTTGTCTGCCTGTACTGTGAGAGCGGTGCCTAAATGCAGGGTGTCCAGAGGGACCCCAGGGCCCTGCTTGTTGGGGCGAAGTGGAAGGCGTCTCCAAGTCTTCTGCGCAGATTAACCTCACAGAGAGTTCCACGTGGGGCCAGCGTTTCTCAGTCCGCTCTGCTGACCCCTCCATTAGAATCACCTTAAGCATCGATTGAAAATGTGATTCCTTCTCTATGTTAAACCCATTTAAATGAACAAGGTAGGTTTTTTTAAGTGCAGGTGTAGAAAAATCTATAGGTTATATTAAGCAAAAAAAGCAAACTACAAAACTAGATGCACTGTCATTTCTTTTGGGTAGGGAGAAAAATGGTTGAAAGGGACAGAAATCCTAGTGTTAATCTAATATTCTTTTTTTTTTCCTGGAAGAATACGTTAGGATCTGTGATGACTGGTTACCTAGGGAAGAGAGACGTGGGGGTGCGGGAGGGAGACTCCTAGGTTTCATTTCAGCCCTGTCTGTTCTATTTGTGTTTCTAACCACGTATCTGTATTACTTTTATGCTTTTGAGTGTCAGCAGGGATTATCCAGGCCGTGGGACTGCAGATCATTTTCTTTCTTCTTTATGCTCTTTCTGTAGTAAGAAAATCAATTTTTAAAAATACAATTTAAAAAAATGAATCTGCTACTGGCTTTCAGTACAGATTCTGGCAGAAAGGAGCCCAGGGTCCCATATTTAACATGCACATCGGTATTTGAGAATTTGGGGGATCAGAGCCCACCACCCCGAAATATGCCACTTTGGCATATTGACTATTTGGAGTTGAAGACACTTGAGAAACAGCAGTTGCAGGAAGGGCTCTCTGACCTCCCTCCTTCTACCTAAAAATAGGACATGAAATGAAGAAAGAGGCAGAAGGACTAGTCACTCCCCAGAGACTCTGCTCAGCCCAGAGAAGGCACTGAGAGGAATCTGTGTAACAGGCCTTGTCTTCTGTCACTTCCCCCATATAGTGACCTTCCCAGTTTGTCATTCCTAAAAGCCTAAATCTCTTTTCCTTGGTCTTTACATTTCTGTACAAATTTGTTGTTCTTTGTTAAGATGCCCCAGAAGGCCCCGAGTTGTAACCACCCCTATGAGTTACTCATCACTAAGCTTCCTCCATGTGGATGCACGCTATATGTGTTAATAAGCTCTGTTAGTTTTTCTCTTGTTAATCTGTCTTTGTTAGTTTAATTTCCAGGCCCCCAATCACAGAACCTAAGAGGGTATAGGAAATTTTATTTTCCTTCCCTACAGGAATCTGGCTTGTAATCCCGGATACTTCCAGATGGACTTCTTGACCAATGCCAGGGCCTCCCTAGTCAGAAAATGCTGTCTGTTGCTTGCTTTTTACTTCCACTACTGCGACTCAGGGATGACAACACTGGGGCAGTTAACTTGGGGTGCCCCCTTCAGATGCACGTGCATCTACTGGCTCCCATTCGTAGTGTGCTGTTTTCTCCTAGGCTATGTAACACTTTAGCAACCATCCTTTTCCACCAGTGGGATGCACTTTTCCTTAAGGATTCCCAGGGTCCTGGGTCATGGGAGACCCTTCAGTAGTTTTGCATCTGTTTCTCTAAGACGCCTTTGCAGTAACGTTAGCCTGGGACCCATTTTTACAGTGATGTCCAGGCTGGGGTTTCCCAGTCCTCTCAGAAAGCAAAAACTCAGAACTCTGACCTGTTCAAGGTGTAAGCTCCAGGTTTTCATTTTACAAGTTTTTTTTTTTCCCCTCCAGAGACCAGGTAGAACATGTGATTGGCTTTTTTGTCTCTCTCTGCAGCTGGATGGATTTTTTTTCCTCTAGTCCACTCTTCCACACAGGGACAGAATTTTAAGACTCTTGCATTTATAGAATTTCATCTCTTGCCTGATGTGACCCAAGGCCTCATCTTTGCCCCATTTGGACGGTAACACCCAGAACCTATTCTTGGAACCCTTGTCAGTCCCTAGGCAGCGTCTGAACTGGTTTTGGTGTTTAGGCTCTGGTTTCTAGCTTCCTTATGATGAATGATTCCCTTTCTTGGTTGCATGCTCAGATGTGCATTTGAAACCTTTTTGGTTTGTTTATGGTGTTTGTGGAGGGAGCTTTTGGTTTTATCTTCATCTTTAATCTTGCTGGAAACCGACATATCTCGAGCAGGAACTTAAATGTACACAAAACACTCCTGCTTCCCTCTTGTCTTCAGTTGTTCTCCAGGTCCTGTGGGTCCCAGGTTCTGCCAGGCAGCGAGCCTTTCGTTAGTATCACGAGCTTGTATCTTTCTCAAGACTTGTGATTTGACATTTCCATGCATTTGACAAGAAAATGAAAATACAAGCAGATGTTCACGATCCTCAAGACTGGCCTAAGAGGCAGGTTAGGGCTTCTGTTAAGCTGTTAGGCAGGGAGGGAAATTTTTGAGTGGGGATTCATTTTATAAGTGGTGGGTGAGTTCATTCGTGAATATTTTGGGGTTCTGAGCGTGCTGGTTTTCCTTCCACCTTGCAGGGTGGAGAAGGCGTGCCATGATGGTGAGGATCCTAGGACGTGCTTTTCCATGTGTGTTCGTCATGTTCAGAATGTGTGTCAGGGAACTCGCACTGCAGGAGCGGGGGTGGGGGGGTCTCCTCTTAACCTTTTCCCAGTCTGTGACTTATTTGGCAAGCAGGAGGCCATCAGATGTCCAGTTTTTGCTGAGCTCAGCCTGCCCTATGAAGGACAAATCAGTCTATGGGAAAAGCCCAAACCTGTTGGTTCACAGGTCTCACAGGGTGGGTGTTGATCTATGTATTCAAGATTGCTTGCGGTGCTAGAAAAAAATACAAATGCTTATGCTCTACCTCTGATTTGCTGAAATCCCCTCTCCTGGGATGGGACTGGGGAATTTGCCTTTTAAAATTCTCTAGGTGATTCTCTTTCTGTCTGTATTGCAGTGTGAGAATATTTGTCCTGAGTTCCTGCAGTGAGGAAGTGATGGGGAAACCAGTGCATTCCTAGGAATCTTTTGGCAAACAGAATGTCCTTTGAGATGGAGAGGCTACAGACAGAGAAGAGGGCATCTTAAGCTGCTTTGTGCTTGAACGTGGTGTAGGGGAGGGAATCCTGCTCAAAAGCTTCATTAAAAAGCTTATCAAAAGCTTTTGTATCAAAAGCCTCATCTTTGGAGGTGATTTTTTAGGGGTGGGGGGAGGAGATGATTTAAAGCCACTTGGTGACATAAAAAGAAAGGAGGTGGGGGAGAAGGCAGGAGAAAATCCAACTGAGCGTTAACTTCTTCAGGGTTTGAGTTAAAACGTTGCCTGGGTTTCAATTAAGCTGAGTACATTTCTCCCATCCCTGGTTAATCATGGGTTGCCATGGCAACAGGCGCACTGCTTTCTGTAGCCCATCCCGGGTACCTGCCTCTGGTACCAGTGTTCCTGCAGGCTCCCTGACTTCTCTGCAGGCTCAGGGCTGCAGTGACATAATGGTGGGCAGATTTTGGTGGCAGGGGAGAACTTGCCACTTCAGGGAGTTTAGTGTGGGTAAACCCTACAGCCTAATAACTTCCAGAAAAGTGCCGGGTAGCTCTGTCTGGGTCGGATGTTCTGTTCTTGGTCACGTGCTTTGGACTGGCTTCAGGGACTGTATAAGTGAAGGCCTGGCCAGTTATCCCACAGGCAGAGCACCCCTCCATGCCACCTCCCCTTGGCACTCACTCACCCAGTGTTCCTCTGCGGGTTTCCCTTGGGTCCTCCCAGAACAGGGTTTCTCAGTGTGGGTTCCATGGGCTTTGCACTGACGTTGGTTCCCATGTTCCTGGTTTAGTAAATCAGAGTGATTATGGATTCTGTCATCCTAAGAGCAGTGACAGGCGGAGGAACACATTTTGGGCAGAAGGTGATGTGTTCCATTCAGTGCAAAAGGAGCAAAATGATAGTCAGACCCTCAAGGGAGAATTCTCAGTAAACAGGTGGCAAGAGATTTGGGCTGAACAGAGCAATCCTGGGAGTCCGCTCTTGATGGGTTTCCATTGTATTTTCCTGGATCCTTCTTCCTCTCCGAAGTCATGTCATCTAGTATGCCTGTCACTCCTGCAGACTCCCGAGCCCACCCAGGTCTGCTATGAGCTCCAAGAATCCTCACTTTAAAATTTTTTTAAAGTCTTTTTTTTTTATTAAAGTTATTTAGGTGATATTTCCTTGTAAATTTAATTTTATTATGATGGGAATACTAATGTGCTAACTACCCCCTTAACACATTTTTAAGTGCACTCTGTGTTACTGTTGACTGCTGGTGCAGTGTGGTGCAGCACATCTCCAGGGCTTGTTCATCTTGCTTAACTGAAATTTTATGCCCTTTGATTCTGTGGACAAAGAATGTGACCTGTCACATCAGTAAACAAAGGATGCTGCAGCCATCAAGCTGTCAGCCACTGCAGCCACCCTCATTTTGCACCCTGAGGGGATTCAGGATGGAAAGAAAAAATGAAATCAGGATACTGACCCTAGAGAGTTAAGGTGCACATTAAAGGAATTATTTCAATGAGCCCAGACTGTTGCATCTTCCCCTACATAGAAAATTCATTAACTTGAGATGTCTTTTTTCTTTAATTAACAGTAATGTTTTGATGTTCCAACTACCTGTTTGTTTGTTAGTAAGTTTGTTTGTTTGCAAAACTCCTATATATCCTGGCTCCTCCCTTCCCTCTTCTGAGCAGTCCCTTAGAGTGATCTGAGAGGTTGCCCCCTGGGCTGGAAGTCCTCAGCAAGTCCGCCAAATAAAACATAATTCACAACTCTTAAGTTGTACCTTTTTTTTTTGGTTGACAATTCATAATTTCTTATTTTAAAAATATGGATTGCCACAGCAGTCTGGATGTCATCCTTGTCCAGGGGCCATGCTAGTCTTCTCTGTATCTTTCAAATTTTGGTATATGTGTAGCCAAAATGACCACAAAAACCTCCCTAAATGGTGATCTTCTGTTGTTTTTTGTTTATTCATTCATTCATTTTGGCATGCTCAAGTTTGAGAACCACCATGAAAGATTCTAAACTTGGCCTGGGCTCAGCTAGGATCTTCTACCATCCAGCCACTCACAAGACTGTTCCCACTGTACACACGTGGCCTCAGCCTCCCCAGCCACCTTGTGTAACATGAGCTACAAGGCGGGAGGATGACTGATGCCCCGTCTTCCAGCCCTGTGGTCCTTTTTTGCATTAATGGTCAAAAATCATCTGAACGTCCCTTCATTTTCAGGAAGTCATTTCTGCTTTGAGCTGAAGCTGAAGCATACAGACCCCTCACCAGCCATGTCTCTCCCCTTCTCTGAACCTCTGCTGGATGGCATATGTTTCCCCACTAAAAAGCATGCCATCCTTCACGCTTCCCTGTGGCTGCTAAGTAGGAACAGCATGAGAAAGTGTCTTCCAGCCTGGCAAGCATTTCCACTCTGCTCCATTAAATTTTCTCATTTCACCAGGCAGGGTCCACTCCTGAGCATGAGGTGGCCTCCTTCGACCCCTCACTGATTTCGCTGAGAAGTCCCACTCCATCAGCTTCCTAATTTCTTTTATTCTTGCTGTCTCAGAACCAATTTCTTCCTTTGCTCCACTGAGTCCAAGCAACCTCAGGTCAGCAAAGCTACCTTTGCCTGTCAGCCTCCCGTCTGAGCCAGCACTTCTGCCTCAGAAAGCAGAGGCCTCAAGGATTCAGCCTCCCTGCACCGGGGTCCATGTGGAGCCCCTGCCAAGGCAAGTGCATGTCTCTGCCTAGTGCCCACTGGATCCACTACCCAAAGACAGCCACCCTTTGAAGACGCCAAATCTCAACCAAAAACGTCAGAGAAAGAAATATGTTTCCCTTGCTGGGAGCTGCATTCTGTTGGGTTGATTAGTTTTTAGAAACCCATTTTCCTCCTGGCTCTTTCCCCTTACTGCCTGTGTTTATGGTCAAATCCAGAGAGTAAAGAATAGTGCTTAATTCTTCCTGGCAGTTAGCTGTGTGATGCCATTTCATTAAGCTGCTAAGTTTCCATTTCCAAGGTGGAGTTCTAAAAATATTACATATATATTTGATAAATATATCTCTTAAATTATAGATATGTGTAATTTAAGGAATTAAACCTGAAAAAGGAAATATAATGGCTTAATGAAATAGCATAGGTATATTATTTATATAAATTATATAGATCACATGTGTATTTGTGTATGTCTATCTATCTGTCAGTCCACCTGCCTGTGTATGTATCTGTGTATCATGATTTTCTCTGGATAACAAGCAACCAGCCAGGATGCTTCAGGGTTGCTAGTGATCGACTTTGCTCCCACCTCCTTGGTCGTAACATTTTTTTAGGAAGTGCAAACTGGTATGATGTGAGCCTAGGTCAACTACATTAGATGGGTAAATCTATTTTTTAAAAAAAAGGAGAAAGAAAGAAAAAGGGAGAGAAAAAGTGACTTTGTATTCCAAAGCAAAAATAGACCCTCTTAAAGAGCACCAGCCCTCTCCTTTTATTAACGGAAAGTCTCTATTATCTTTAGCCGCAGGTGATCTGTCCTGAAAGTTGAAAATGTCAACAAGGTTGTGAAATTTTGAAAAGTGTCCATGTTACAGCCAAGGCACGGCTCTGCCCTGCACGCTGGACGGTTGGGATTGGACAGCTCTTGAAAATTCTGCACTAAATCCTATCACCATCTAATTTTTCCTCCTTCCCTGCGAACCCCCTGCTTTTCTGATTTACGTTACGAATGGATTAGGTGTCCTAGACACGCCATTAGCCTCTCCTTTATATTTTTATAAATGTAGTGCAAGTTGGGGATGCGAAGTGCCGAGATGTGGTTTGTGTGGCACTTGCTGTGTGCCCACCAGGGGCCCCCACATCCCCCCTCATCACCTCTCACAGCTGTCCTTGAGGGCGGGTAATACTATCACCCTTGCTTGGCAAACGTGGAAACTGAGGTACGGGGTGGGTACCAAATGGCATCCTCAAAGATGCGCGGCCAGGAAATGGCAGAACTGGGATGTGAACTTGGGTGGCCGGGGAAACGGCGCCTTTAAAGTGAGTGAATCCAGAGTCTCATTTCCCCAGAACCACTCTTGCCTGCTTTTTCCTTCCCAGTGACAGAGAAAAAGGGAAAGAGAGAAGCCTGAAGAGGGGAGAAAAGAGGAAAGTGTCAGCGAGCCTGCAGGGGCTTTCTCCTGGTCTCCCTGCTGTGTGCCTCCTGCAGGACTGGATGCCTGCAGCCAGACCGCCAGCCACTCAGCCTGTCCACCTTGTCCCCGCCTGCCCACACCCACGGTCCGTTGTTAGCTTTGATTGACAGTCCCCCCAGGAGACTGGGAGAAACTGCCAGACCCCCTCAAAGCAAACACATTGATGATAATTTGGGTTGGGCACACGTGTGTTCTTTCTGTCTCTGTCTCTGTCACACACACACACACACACAGAGATGCATATGCTGGAAAGGCGAGAAAAGGGAAATTTCTGGGACTCACAGCCATGGTAGCTGGTAGCTTTCTTCCCCATTAATCCTGGCCTGGGAAACAGGCGGCCCCTGTGTCCAAATCACTTTTGCTGATCTGGAGAGTGGGGACGTGGGGGCAAAACTAGCAAACTCGTGCCAGATCTGCCAAGAATTTCCCGCCGTGTTTCTCTAGTGGTGCCCGGGGATTTTCCTTTCCACGCCCCACCCTCCACCTGCTAGTCAGACCTCGGCAGAAGCTTGCTGTCATCCGTGTGACCTGTGCTCTTGTTCACAGAGAGCGCCCAGGTTGGGAGAGTGGCTTTTCTTCACTAGTTGGGACCCTGTTCTCATAGAGTTGTGTTTGTTTTTTTTTCTTAACAGCATGGGTAACCATGCTGAAATTTACCTTTGCACTCTATCTGAAATGTTTTTCTCCCGAGCAGATTAATAGCACGAAAATATTGCCGGGGAAATATTTAACTGATGAAGAAAACAAACCTTTAGAGACAAATATTTAGCGGTATTTACATAATGTGATGTTTATTTGCATCTCAATGATATTCTAATTTCTCCTTATTTATAAACCCAGGCTGATTGGAAATGGGCCCACCTAACCTATGAACGTCCATCAGGGCCTTGACTTGGCTTCCAAGCTTTGGAGGTCATGCTAACACGGGAGTTCTTTTTCACTGAGTAGAATGCAGGGCTCCTGCGCATGCAGGTGTGTTCTCTGTGGCAGACTATACTTCGTGATGACCTGCATCCTCGCCCCCAGAAAATGGACTTTGCTGATCCTTGTCCACTGCTGTGCCATTTGCCCCCAGGACTTCCATCATCTCCTGGAATTTCTTCTTGGTTAGTAAGCTTCTCTGTTGAGATGCAGCTCAATCACCTGCCCCATCCCCACATCATCCTTTGTTATTCTTTATGTGATTTTCTTGTCTTTCTTTCTTTTTTCTTTTTGGTAACGAAACTTTCTTTCTTTATTGAAGTAGAGTTGATTTACAGCGTTGTGTTAGTTTCTGCTGTATGGCATAGTGATTCAGTGACACGTTGTTTTTCATATTCTTTATCATTATAGGTTATCATGAGGTATTGTATATAGTTCCTGCTGCTACACAGTGAGACCTTGTTTTTCTATTTTATATGTAGTAGTATGTATCTGCAAATCCCAGACTCCTGGTTTATCCCTCCCCTCATGTGATTTTCTTGAATTTGGCCAATGTCTGGGAGCTTTCCGTCGTGGTGAAGCAGGGCTTGCTTTCTGGAGAAGAAGAGGAAGGCAGATGGGGACACCTGTGCTGGCTCGTCCACCCTGCCTCTCTCCTCAGCAGAATGTGCTCTGCTCCAGGTGGGCTTTTGGACAGGGTTAACATGTGAGTGACCAGGGCCCAGGACTGGCCCGGTCAAGGAGATCGGCTGCTTTCAGGGGCAGAGTGGTTAATCCGGCCAGAACTCAGGCCAGGAGACCATTGTAAGGAACTGGGGATTTGCATGGGCAGCGATCCTTGGGTGAGAAGGTGGACCTCAGTTTGGGCCTGAAGGCCAAGTTTAAGTCCTCTTTGCTCTCGTGTCTGTTTTGTTCTGCAGCCTGGAGTGAAGCCTCCAGAGCTAACAGTCACCCGAAGTTGGCTAATTCCTTTAAAATCACAGGGTCCTTGCAGAGACCAGGCAAGGCTTGGAAAGTACAGGGTGAGACTGGTGAGCTGAGACTGTTCTGGTGTCTGGAGGTCACGAGCACTCCAGTGACGGTGGTCTTGGAAGGGTGCCTGGCAGCGCGGGCTGAAACGGGCAGTCTCAGAGGCTGTTGCTGGGAGGGACACCGATGCTGTGTGGTCCAGCTGGCAGACCAGCTGCATTGGCCCCACCCCAGGGCCTTTCCCAAGTGCTGATTGGCAGGTTCCTCCCTGAGAGAAGCCAGGTCAATACAGCTAAGGCTGGGGATCTGGATTTTTTTATTCCTCAGATGATTCTGACATGAGGTCAGTTTTCAGAAGCACCAGTTCAATCCTTTCAGTGATGCCTCTGACAACAGGGCTCCTAGAGCAGGCAGACTCTCCCTGGAACTTGTCCCCACCTGGGAGTGAGCACGGGGGTTGTCGAAGCTGCAGCGGGCAAGGTGGTCAGGTGCCTCCTGAGGCATCTGTGTGGTGGAAGGAAACGTTTGTTCCCCACATGCCTCCGAGAATTAGTAGATGGAGGGGATTTTGGTTTTTAGAGGAGGTGGAGGCTAGGCTGGAGGGGAAAGAGGTTGAAGTGGTGTGGTTGGTGGAAACAGCCCCAAACTGGCAGGAGAGCTGGGTGTGGCCCTTGGTCCTGCTGCTTTGTAGCTGAGCCATCCTTAGCCAGATGACTCAGTCTCTGAGCCTTGTTCTCTTACTTTAGTCCGACCTCTTTTGGTTGCTGATGCCAGGAATCAACTTGACTCCTGAAGCCAAAGAGACTTTTATTGGCTTATTAGTGGGGAGGATTCTGGAAGCTCATGAAATCA